CCCCGGCGTGTCCCCGTGTAGCCGGGGAGTTTGGGATGTGGCTGGTTGTACGATGCCGGAGCGGCGTTTTCCCGACAAACAGCCGTAAAGCGGCCGCCCCAGCTGCTGGATTTCTGCTTGCTCCTCCGCAGCGGCCAGTGACGACTGTTGCTTTCTCTCTTACGCCAGAACGCGTTCGTGGGCTTAACGAACCTCGGCGCCACGTGCTACGTGAACACTTTCTTGCAGATGTGGTTTCTTAACTTGGAGCTCCGGCAAGCCCTCTACTTGTGTCCCAGCACCTGCAGCGAGTATGCAGCTGGAGAGGGCATTCCGAAAGACAAAGGTGGGTGGAAGCTGTGAACGGGGGGTGGTTTTTGCTCGTTTTCTCCTAAAATTTTACATGCTGGCGTCAGCTTTGGGATCGCGTTTATCAGGAGGATTGATGGGTGAAGCTACAGCCGCTCATGCAGTCTCCGTGCCATTGGTTTTGAGTCTGTCACCTGGCTTTTGGGATAGAACCAACCTTTACCCAAGTGATTTCTTAAATCAGAGCGATCTGATCTGGTTGAAAAATCTGGTTTGGGTTTGTTTCTTGCCGGGCTGCTTCCCAAACTGATTCCCAGCTTGATGGTGGTGCTGGGGGTGGAAGCACAAGGCTTGGGGCTGATCTGTGCTGCCACGGAGCCACACTCATCCCATGGGAGGGTGAAAATTTAGGTCCCTGGTACGAAAGAGGCTCCCAATTGCCGGCACACTGGGAAGCGACGGCCTCGAGTGCCGTGCCTTTATGTATGGCGGTGCGCTATAGGCACGCTCTGGGCCAGGGCAGTTGCCTCATGTCTTCTGCTCTGCTTTTTACAGTATTTTTGAATGGTGTCCAGCCAGTTAGGGTAAATAAGAAGCTGTTGCTACTGGATAATCGGCGCACACTGCTTAAACTGTTCGCTTGCAGCTCGTGCTAGGCACTGCGGGATATTTGGCTTGTGCTGGGACTTCTCTGTCATCACTGCCACTAACCTCTTCAGACTCATGATAATTTAAAACAGCTTTTTAAAAAAACGTATCATTCCTAATCGTTAAATTTACCCCTGCAAAGGAAGAACAAGTGGATTGCTTGGAACAGGTGTCTCTTGCCTTGAATTACTTGCTGTGACTTGTGCAACTTCTTGCTTTTGATAGACTACGAACCTCAGACCATTTGCGAACACCTGCAGTACTTGTTCGCCTTGCTGCAGAACAGCAAAAGGCGATACATCGATCCCTCTGGATTCGTCAAAGCGCTGGGCCTGGACACGGGACAGCAGCAGGTAGGTTTGAGGCTCATCCCTCGAGTAATGAGCTTCTGTAGGGCAGCATGAAACTGCCTTGTAGGTTGTTTTAGCATCTCCCAGCCAGGTTCTGCTGCTGGGTGCAAACACAAAGGGAGAAGCGGTGCTTCAGGCTGTTCTCGTGGGTGTGGGAGATCAGGAGGAGCCCAGGGAGCAATGGGATGGGGACAGGGAGTGTTATTAGCGCCTGATCGACGCTGGCACCACGCGGGGCGGGAGCTGAAGCTGCCATGAGCCTGCTTTATGGTGCTTTATGGGCTGCTCCCCCCAGGGTGGGTAGTTCAGAGGGGGTGGAAGGGCTCTTGCAGGGCGAGGAGACGTTTGGTTGGGTCACCGGGAGCCAGCCAAGGCTCGACCTGAGCGTGTGGGGCAGAGAAAGCACGGTTAGGGGTGAGCGCTGCAGAGTGGCTCTGTGGGGCTCTCACTGGAGCGGGCTCGGGAAGAGGGCACAGCGTGAAAATACGCTTTGGGAAATAAGGAGGTTGTTGGAGGAAGAGCCCGAGTGCCGGCGTTTCCTTGGGAAGACACGGGAGGGGAAGCGAGCAGTCACTGCTGACCGGTGAGCCTGGGAGAGGCCAAAGCCCATTTGTTTTCGGAAGAGGAGAGCGAGGATGGGAGGGGAAGGCCCTGAGATGAGCATGGGGAAGCTCTTGAGCCTTGCTGGAAGGGGTGGATTCATGGGGCAGCTTCTCGTTTTTGGTGTGTTTTTATTTTTTTTTTTTATATCTATAATGCAAGCAGGGACGGCTTCTATTGCGTGCCGAGCTTTGAAAAACGAGCATTAACGGGATAGAAAGCTCTGCAGGAGGTTTGTTTTGTTGTTTTTTTCCTTCCAAAGCCCTGCAAGGAGCGGGGCAGAAGTCAAACCACCCGGCGCCCGGGAGCCAGGTTAGCTCCCGCCGTGGTCTCACGCTGGGGGCCTCGTGCTCCTTGTAGGCAAATTCCTCTTTTTTCTTTAGTTCTCCCAACTGGTCTTTTTTTCTATTCAGTGCACGCCGGAGCCTCCGCGCAGCCTGTGTGTAGGGCTCCGGGTAATTAGCGGTAAATTAGCGACGAGGTTGTGATTGGGCTTTGTGCTGTGGCGTATTCTTAGTGGACTCGGCGTTTTCTTGTAGGATGCCCAGGAGTTTTCAAAGCTGTTCATGTCGCTGCTGGAAGATACTTTATCGAAACAAAAAAACCCAGATGTTCGAAACATAGTGCAGAAGCAGTTCTGTGGAGAGTACGCCTACGTCACGGTGTAAGTATCTGGTCTTCTTCGGGAAGAACCTTTCTGTAAATATTTAAACATTGCAGAAGAAACCGAGGGGGGAAGGTCCTCCTGACAGCCGGAGCAGGCAGGTAAGCTGCTGCCAAAAGGTTTTGTAAGAGTTTTTTTAGCTTTTAGGTTCCCTGATTCTGTGTGCACGGTATTGTTGCAGTTCTCCAGCTGCATTTAATCCCTGAATGAAAAATTACCAATTAAACCTGCAAGTGAGAAAATGGAACGTGAAGTCCCGCAGCCAGGAAATAGAGTACTCGGGTGCTGCGTTTTCATTCCTGTGTTCAGAGCTTTGGATTTCACCTCAAAAATGATATAAAATGGTGCAAGTGAGTCGTAAGCAGGTGCTCCTGGTTTTCCTGGTAGATGCTGTTACCCTGTTTGCACCTTCTTGCAGAGTTTTCGTGGCATAGAGGTGTGAACCACGTTAACTCTGACCTAAACCAAGTTTTTCTCCTGGTTTTATAGCTCAAGGAGCGGTTTGCTAGTGGCTGGGGAGTCGGGCACATGAACCAGGGAACTGACCTCGTGTGTTTTTGTCTTTTTTTTAACCGTAGCTGCAACCAGTGTGGCAGGGGGTCCAAACTCGTCTCCAAATTTTATGAGCTGGAGTTAAACATCCAAGGGCACAAGCAGTTGACAGACTGTATAACAGAATTTCTTAAGGTACGAGCTCCTTGGGTTTTGGGTCCTGCTGTTCTTAGCAGGGTGTTTTAATTCCTTCCTTCAATTAACAGCCTTTGGGGTCGGTATCTGAACGAAGCCACTGAGTTGTCTCAGTGAGATGCACGCAAAAGGGAACGTTTCTTTCTGTGGACCCAGAAAAGGAGGATTGAGTCACGCGCTTGGGAGGTCAGGGAGCAAGGAGTGGCCCCACACCATAGCACATGGGCATGTCAGCTCTAAAAAGCACTCGAAAGTGGCGTGTTCAGTTAAAACACTTTCCCAGCAAAGTTGGGAAGAAGTCCCCCGAAGCCTGACAAGAGGTCCCTGCGTGCTTTGGCATGGACAGCACCGGGAGAGCGGCTGCTTTTTGCATTTTCTATATTGGTGCTCATCTGTGTAGCAACAGGAGGCATTGCCTGTTCTAAAATGCACTCTCAAAAATACTAGGGAGGGCTGGGAATAGCTGCGGGAACAGCTGCAAATGCTCTTAATTCGACTTGAAAATCTGCCTAGATCTGAAGTGAAGATCCGGCATGTTAAAGGTTTGAGGTGTAGATTCAGCTAAAAATATTTTGGGCAGAGCTAACCTGAAGCGTGGCTCTGTGCCTGAGCTGCCTGGCTGTTGGGCAGCGGCTTCGCTGATGCGCTGGGCAAACCGGTTGCTCTACTTGCGGAAAGTCTGCGGTGAAAAAAGACTGGTTTGTGTACATCCATTAAAATCCCAAACCGGTGAACTTCAAGTTTGTCTGCTCCTCCCTCGAATGAAGCAGCCCGGTGACCTTGTGTAGGGCCGTTGGAGATCTCCTCTGGCCTGATCCTGCCGCCGGATCCACTTAGGCGTAGGCAGAGGCTCTTAAAAGGTAATGTTTGTTGGACTGGGCACAACAGGATTGTGGTTTCAGGGCTAAAATGTGGCTTTACATTAACTTGGTCCACGTGAGCTCGTTTAAGGGCTATTTAATTATTTCCCTTTTCTATAGCTCTCGTTGCATTAAACCAGCTCAGCCAAGTGGAGAGCAAACCTGGCAGTCCTGTCAGCGGCACAGGGCTGGATTCGGTCTAAAACTTGCCTTAAAGTGAGAGCAGCCTGCTATGGCCCTGCTGTAAAACACAGTTATTAGCACCCATTTTTAACCAAGAGGTTATTTTATAAAGCAGCTGCGTACGGTTACAGTAAATTCTGTGCTCTGCAGTCTCGGGCTGTTGAGCAGCGCGGACCGGCTGACTTTTCTGTGGTAACCTGTTCTCAAGACCTGTCCTTCTGCCTCCCCTCCCCGCTCAGGAAGAAAAATTAGAAGGGGACAATCGTTACTTCTGCGAAACTTGTCAGAGTAAACAGAACGCCACGAGGAAGATCAGGCTGCTGAGTCTCCCCTGCACGCTCAACCTGCAGCTGATGCGTTTCGTGTTTGACAGGTAAGGCCTCTCGCTGGAGCGCCCGCTGTCAGAGTGGGAGCTCCCCGGGCTGCGTGGAAGCTTTCTGGGACGTCGCCTGCTCTGCTCTTGCTGCATTGATTTGAGAGAGTGAGGGTTGAGCGCGTGCATGAGCTTCTCCGGGGGTGCCCACTGGCACTTCAAGGGAGTTACTCCAAGATCGCAGAATCACAGAATGTTGGGGGTTGGCAGGGCCCTCTG